GAAGCTTCCCTTGTGCTCCAGTCTGTGGTATGGACTGAACGAGGGGAATTTTTTCCTTCCAGGTCCCACCCTATACTTTCAGTGCTATATGTGCTCATTAGGGCAACACTGCTTTTCTGGATGGAGGAGCTTTGCTGAACAGCAGTGTTGGAAAATGGGTAGTGTTTTCTAAATAATTGTTACCTAATCTTTAGCTACACTTAACATATTTAAATAATAAGTGGAGATCCTCCTGGTCAGATTTTTCTCTTCCCTCTACATCTATCAGTTGTTGATGTCAGCTAAAGATAGAGAGGCTCTCAGACCATTGTTTATCAAGAATGGGGTCAGAGGGCCACCTGCCTTAGAACAACCTGGGGTAAAGGGTGATTTGTAGCTCAAAATGGAGATTCCTGGACCCCGTTCCAACTGGATTCCCTGACAATCAGGCCCAGAAATCTGTTTGAGAAACATAGATACCCCAGGTGATTCTGATGAATATAGACATGAGTTCTGAAAGAATGAGGGCAAGGACCTGTCTGGTTTGTACATTGTGCAACCCCCAGCACCAAGAACGGTGCCTGACACATACATGTGTGCACTAGTAGTTTGTTGAGTGGGTGAGTTCTTCCGCCCAGTTTTCCGCTGCTTGTCTGCTGTTGGTTAGGGAATCTTGTTATAATTTAATTTTAAGAAAATAATATATCTTCAGTGACAGGTTAGGAGTTCTCCTTTATGTAAATTACTTGAAATTTAGAAGGTTAAAGTGATCCTTTTTTTTGCATTGCCGATGAAAAATATTTTATGTCTGGCACAGACTCACATAAAGGCTAAATAACTATCTGTTGAATTCATTTTCAGGCATGGTCCAAATAAAGTTACTTGAAAGATGAGGAGCTTTTATGTTACATTGACCTTCATATTTAAGCTATTTTGAAAGATTAATTCTTAAAGTTCTGTTAGCTAAGATGAGGCTATTTAGAAATGTAAGGTGGTTTTATTTGTGCCTACGTGTGATTTTGAATTCTGCTCTTCACCTGCTGCCATGAATAAAATGTCTGCTTTCTAAAAATATTCCTAATGGAAATACGCTGGGTCCAAAAGGGGGTTAAACTGTGAGCAAACAATAGGAATGGATTGTGGTCTCTCATGAAGTTTGAGGTGAACATGTTTCTCTCTCCTTGGTATTTATTTTTTAAGAGACTGAAAATATCACCCCAAGCCTTTTGAGCCCTTTTTAATTTTATTTTATATTATATTTGTACTAAGCAGACATCTGAGTGTTCACTGTTTTTGAGTATATTTAGCTACTGTGTTCTCATTTTTTTGTGTGTTTTGTTTTATTTTTAAATCAACTGAAAATGACCTTGTTCTTGTTGAGTGATTTTTTCCCACCAGCCCCACTCCCTACTTAATGGTTTGAGAGAGTATGTTGAAGGATAGGAATGGCTGGCATATTCTTTCAAGAGACTTATATGCTACCTCCTTGAGAAAAAAAGACTGATGTTAGAATTATATTGTTCCCAGTGTAACTGTTTTCTGATGAAGGTAAGCAGGCACAAATGGAAATATGGTTATAGTTTTTTTTGTTTTTTTTGAGACAGGGTCTCACTCTATCACCCAGGTGGAGTACAGTGTCGTCCTGAATAACTGGGACTACAAACGTGCACCACCATGCCCAGCTTATTTGTGTGTGTGTGTGTCAAGACAAGGTTGCCATGTTGCCCAGGCTAGTCTCGAACTCCTAATCTTAAGCCATCTGCCTGCCTCAGCCTCCCAAAGTATTGGGATTACAGGCCACACTACACCTGGCCTGGTTATAGGTTATTTTTTAAAAGTCATCTAACAAATACTATTTGAGTGCCTTCGTGGTGCCGGGTGGGATGCCAGGCTCTGGGATACAGACATGAATGATACATCTTCTGAATTAATAAGTTTATATTCTCATTGGGAAGATGGACAACTAGCTGTTAATGATAAAGAGTAGCAAATATGTGGGAGGTATTGCTGCATGCAGTGAGAGCACAAAAAATACAAGTAAAACCAGAACTGGGCTGTAAAGGATTTAGAGTTGATTAGGGTGGGGAAGGATGTTGCAAGCAGCAGATTAAAGTGATTTGTAGGTGTGTAAACTTTGGTATATTCTAGTAATGTCAAGTGGTTATGGTAACAGTTATATCAGGAGCTAGGGCATGAATAATGTTATCTATGCTAAGAATGTTTCATGTAGCAAAGTGTTGAAATTTTAATAAAAGCAATGATTTTTATCAGTCAACCAAAATTTTGAAATATGCCATTTGCTTTAAAACTCAACACATTTTAAAATTTTGGTTCAGTAATAAGAATCATGCAACTTAAAGGATATAAGGGAGAATTTTAAGAAATATCAAGTAATTTTTCTTTTGGTGATTTTAACTTAAATTCTTTCATTGTTTGCTCAGTACTTACATGCTGATTTACTGCTGTGTTTTTCTGGAATTTGTGTGTGTGTCTGTAGTTTGTACTTGGAAGTGATTACTGGTACTTGAAAAGACTGAGTTCTGCCATAATCTCATGAACTTAGCTGCATTTTCTGGAGAGCTTTTATATTAGAAAAGAAACCTTTACCGTTTTCATTTACAGTCTTAGGCAGGAGGTTTATAGAAAATCCTGTAAACACACCAAATGAAGCAGAATTTCAGGAATCCTGAAGCATGAACTAGGAGACTAAAATTAGATGATGTACGTTTAGATAGTTTTTAGGTAGATCATTCAAAATAGATTGTAGTTAGATCACTTGTCGAGGTCAGCATTATTCTTAATTATACCCCAAATCTTTATAACATGATCTTTTTATATGTATTTGCCAGTTTGTTTTTGTTAATTTGAGCTGAAATAGACCAAAATCAATTCACATTTACTTCAAAAAAAAAAAAAAAAAAACTGAATCGTAAACAGCCTTTTGGCAAAAGATAAAGACTAGTAAAATAGAAAAAAGAGATAAGAACTTATTCACTTTTAAAGAAGCAATTATGAGACATTCTTATTTTATACATATGTACAGGTTGCAATTCTGTATTGTACAATATTTTCTATTGTTTTGTTCTTGATTTTATTCCTGAATTTCCCCACAGAATTTTTTATGTGTTTAACACACAGCTTATGTGTTTTTATATATATGTGTGTGTGTGTATATATGTATGTGTGTGTGTGTATATATATATATATACACACTTTTTCTATTGACATTTAGAAGGTTTAAGGATCTGTCTAGCTGTATCTGTTTGGTCCATGTGTTTGTGCATGGAGTCTTGGACTTAATGACATTTTATCCATTGTATTTTCCAGGTGTTCATGATTTATTTTTTGTTTCCATCTTTTGACCATGACCATTTGTTTCTTGGATACTGTGCATAATAACATAGACTTTTATGGATAGAAAATCTAAATGGCATAAATCGTGTCCTGTCTTTCCATCTGATCTGCTTTGGGATGGCCTTTATATACTTCCTCCTTTCCAGGCCTTCCACCACCAGTGACCACTATTCGACATCTGGCCCACTCTCAGTCATCCTCCTGCTTATGCTTGTCCCCTCCTTGAAGGCTTCCCACTGCATGTAGGACAAAGGTCAGATTTTGTAACAGGTCAGGCCTGGTCTTCATAGTCTGGGATCCACTAATTTTTGGTCTCAGTCTCATCCCTTGGAGGATTACCTCTGTCCTTCGCAAGCTCTATGCTCCAGACTTATATTAAAAGCAAACAAATCAAACTTGGTTTTCAGAAAATGCCTGATTCTCTATTACCACCTGCTTTTGCACCTCCTCTGAGGGTACCTTACTGAGCAAGTAGAATTGGTTGTTCCTTGTTTCTTTTATGCTTCATAGAATTTTGTTCATTTAGCAATTATAACTCTTATGAAACTGTATTGTTAAGGTTTATGTATTAGTCTCTCCAACTAGACTGAGTTTTGCAAAGAACCTGACGTACTCATTTTTATATCCTTAAGGCTAAGCACAATCCTTGGCATATGGTAGAGAGTCAATAATCTTTAGAGTGAAGCTACTTAATTTGTCTAGTATTATGAAAGTATGAAAACAGGATAATGTTTAAAAAGAGATATAAATATTTAGATCTGGAAGCTGGGCGCAGTGACTCATGCCTGTAATCCCAGCACTTTGGGCCAAGGTTGGAGGATCACTCAAGGCCAGGAGTTCAAGACCAGCCTGGGCAACATAGTTGAGATCCCCATCTCTACAAAAAATGAAATAACTGGGCATGGTAGCATGCACCTGTAGTCTTAGCTACTTAGGAGGATGAGCCAGGAGGATTGCTTGAGCCCAGGAGGTTGCAGTGAGCTATGATTGCACCACTGCACTCCAGCCTGGGCAACAGAACAAGACTATCTCTAAAAAAGATAAAAAATCTTAAATGTGTCTTGGGAAACTAGCTTATAATGACATCCCAAAAGGCATCTGAGGAGGTATTCCAGACTAAAGACAGTTAGAAGTAACTATCTGGGAAATCAGATTTTAAGGTGCCATCTGGAACACATTTGGGGCTAGATAAGCCTACATCTATTTTTGAGTATTCCCAGAATTCACTAGATAGACCTAAATGTTTATAGTGATTTGCTGAATAGAAATGCATTCTGTTCCAAATAACACCCAGCATAGGCATTAAAAAAAGATCTGGCTGTGGGGAACCTTCATGTAAATAATATCTTAGAGTGCTAGCACTTGCCAGTGTTATGAAAGTAATACACAGGTGCTCTTTTGTTCAGATATATCGTTACTGTGATGTTGATAATTTGTATAAGAAAATATGAGGCACGATGAGTTCTCACAAATATCTGAAGCCTAGATGAACATTTTTGAATGCATTTTTTGAGTTTAGAGATTCAAATCAATATATCCTTGGTATAGCATGGTGTATCAGTCTTTGGGCATTGAAGATAAAGGACCTTTCAGTTTAGGTTTAAATACAGAAAACTTTTAGTTTAGTAGTTTTAATTTCAAAAGAAACTGTGGTTTTTATTTTTCAGTGTTGAAAATGAGCCCATGAGCACAAGTCAGAAAAAGGAAAATGTACTTTCATCAGAAGCAGTAAAGGTATAGTTTTAAATTAATATTACTTTATATCAAGTAAATATCTTAAATTACTGTCAATTCTTTTAGATTCTATCATCTTATTTTACATTTCAAAAAGAACACTGTGTAATTACTTTTTGTGGAAATCCAGCTCGGCTTTGTCGGACACTTGCATCGGAAGGTGGGATGGGGGTCTGGACGGGTGGGGAAAGGCTCTGAGAAGGGAGTATACAGAGTGGTGTTCTTCGCTTTGCCACTAACCCAACTGTGTGATCTTCAGCTGAGGCATTTAACTTCTTTATGTCTTTGTTTGCTAATCTGTAAGTCAGATTACATGGCCTCCATGGTCTTTTTCCTAGGAAGTTCTGGGATTTATGAGTTTTCTGAGATGTTGCAAAGTAATAGTGGTTTTGGAGGGTAGAAGTTAATACATATCATTGCTCTATGTTAGGCGTGTTTTGGTTAACTTGCATGTCATTCTTGGCTTCTCTAAGAGGACAAGCACAAAAAGTAGATACCTACACACCTACATAGGGAATTCTCCATGAGTAGTTGAAAATCCTTGAAAACTGCTAAACCTTGTGATCTCTCTTTTTATTCATAAGTGATTTTCTAGAAATTTGATGTTTCCAATTTCTAGGTCTGTGATCGTGTTTTGGTAGCTATCCCACAATCATGGCTTTTGGTCCCAGTTGCTTTCTTTTCACATGATTTGTGACGGTCAAGGAGAAAATTTGAATCTTCTGGGAATTTCAGAATAAATTAGCGTGGTCAGTAGAAAGACTAAAATGTCATCTCAATTCTTCATGACTGATATGGGCACTTTGTAATATTTTTAAAAACTATACAATGCCCAGTGCATTACACATTATAAAGACAAAGTTGTTTTAATTCTTTATTTCTGCCTTCTCCATTATAATAAAAAAAATTTATTGAAAGGAAAAAATGAAGATCACCTTGCTTTCCTTTCTTTACTCCTTTGTGAGTCTGGCTACCAAACCCTCCTCCTGGTGGTTTTATCATGTATCTCACTTCTCTTGTGCAAGCAGTTGCTAGCCAGCCTGCTGGTTTACCATTGTATGGGCTCTATAGCTGCTGCTGCTTTTTCAGTTTGTACATGCTTCGAGTTTCCCTACTCAAGACTTTTACTTCTAATGCAATAAACGAAACTTGCCCTTGTGTTGTTTCATAGGAAGGCTGTTACATCTGAGATCTCAAACTTCCAAGTTTCTTTGGTTATCAGCTTTTGTCATTCTGTCTCTTAATCCCTTGTTTCCTCTGTACTCACTCTTGACCTTTACCAAACCTTCCTGCTTTCCTTGCTCCCTTTTCTTCTCTTAGTCTCTGCTTCTTTCCCCATTTAGCCTATACCTGATGGTTTATTTCAGCTATACTTTCACCTAAATAAATCTTTAGTGTTCAAACTTGAATAAATTCAGGATCTTATTTCCAGTAGTGCTGTTTTCCACCTACAGAGGCTCTGAAAGTTACGTCTTTGTGGATTCAGTAAATATATTTGGCAAATAGAATAGCTGGGCCTCTATGCTAACAATTTTTTCTGTCCATTCTTAATATCTTGTTTTGAGTGCCGAGGATAATTTTATTTTGGCATCTAAGCCCCTAAGTAAATACCATGCAGTCATGAGACTGTTTCTCTTGTGATTTGAAGCCTATAAGCTTACTTATATATGGAAACTGCAGTTATCCCATAATAGAAAGGATATCGTGGCACTTTTTCTGGGGTATCCTGTGCATTTTGGCTCATGTAACTTTTAAAAAAACCTTCTGGAAGCTACTGGTAGGATTTCTTCAACCTAGCCACACAGACCCAGTTGTTCAGGGACTGCTGCTACCAGACATCATAACAAATATGTATTTTGGTAACATAACTTAAATTTTATAATGCTTTCTGTGATAAGAGAAAAAATGTGCAGTATTTCCCACTTGATCAGAACCATAACAGATTTATGTAAACATAACCTTATATAGTCTTCTTTTTGTGTTTGACCTTGAGATACCCAGTGATGATGTCGAAGATTGTTGGTTGCAAGACAAGTTTGAGCTACAAAAATTAATTGTATTTTTAAACAATTTTAGATTATGTTTTATATTAACTTGGGACATCATTAAATTTTTGATTGTTAAAATACCACTTACATGCTACACAAATTTTGCTTTTGCTAACATCAGTGGCTACTTCTAACATTTACCTCTATTCTACTGGAATACGTATTTTATGTTAATAAGGTTTTTATATCTAGCTGGAGATGCTTCCAGAAATTTAGTCCACATTCTATCATTGTCTTGTAGCCTTAAACTCTTTCTTCATTCACATCTACTTTGTGTTATGCCCTGCTCTCTTCTACCTACATCAGATGAATATTTATCCCTTTCTCCCTTGTAAGGCTAAATTCCCTTAAGCCCCCACCTTGACTATACCATGTGCAGTGGTATTGGTGTCCTTACTTTACTGCCTTTCCTTGGGCCTTGCCTTGACTACTGCTTCCATCCATCTTCACTGGCTTCTGATTTGCATCAGGTCTCTGTTTCTCTTTAAATATATAAAATTAAAAACAATGTTTTTGTTTTATTTTTGTGAGTCTGGTTTCCTTTCCTTTCGGTCTGTTATTTTACTTTACTCCTGCCTTTTACCTCAAAATTCCTTATGAAAGTCTGTCTTAAGCATTGTTCAGTTCTTAATGCTTTCTGCTCTGATTCCTGTTTCTCTTTTAGTTCCCTCTGACATGGGAAGCCTGGTACTGTGTCTGGCACATGTGTCATGGATGCTCAGTACGTAGTCGCTGATTGAATGAAAGCTATTCCATGAAACCAGTTACATTCATGTTCACCAGTGACCTTTCGCTGACCACATTCAGTAACCTTTCCCTGGTTCTCATTCTATTTAACCAATTGAAACACTTTTTTTCCAAGTCTTTCTCTCCTTTTTAGAAATGTTCTTTGGTTTATTTTTGCTTCTGTGATATTGTCCTTTCTTGGTCCCATCCCTACCTCTGGCTACTTCCTTCAGTTTCAGTCACTGATTTCTTTTGGCTAAATACTTTTTCATGAAGATGTTTCTCAAAATCTTCAGTTCTCCTCAGTGTCAGACCTCTGAAGTAATATCTTCCAGTCTTTTGGTGTCATCTTTTGGCTCCTGTGTCTTTATCTGACATCCATCTGGAGCTCCAGACTTGATTATCAATGATCCAGACATTTCCCTGTGGATGTCCCTTTGATCTCAAATTCAGTTTCTCCAAAAGCCTTAATATCTTCAGATTTTTTTTTAGTTTTTCTGTTTTTATTTTTTTCTTGGGAGTGTTAGTGGTAGAAAATAGGGAGGATTATCTTACTGTTTGGGTGAAGGAAGAGCCCTTGGGCTCAACTTTTCGATGTGAAGATTTTCAAGCAAACTCTTAGTTTTAATCCCATGTTTGACACTACCTTAAGTGGTACCTAGTGTCTTGAAATCCGAAGTCATTTCAGATTGCCTATGTGATGGATTGTTTTGTTCCCCTTAGGTTCAGAGTCCCTTTTTGCAGTCACTTAGGTAGAAGCTTTCTCTGCTCATTTACTATGCATCTGTCTGCTTTTGCCTTCCTAACCTTTTCTGAAATCTCTTGCCTGCTATATCTGGCCGTTTTTGCATTGCTATAAAGAAATACCTGAGGCTGGGTAATTTATAAAGGAAAGAGGTTTCATTGGCTCACAGTTCTGCAGGCTTTACAGAAAGCATGGCACCAACATCTGCTTGGCTTCTGGTGGAAATCATAGCAGAAGGCAAAGAAGGAGCAGACATGTCCCATAGCAAGAGCAGGAGTGAGAGAGAGAGGGGAAAGCTGCCACACACTTCTAAACAACCAGATCTCGCGAGAACTCACTCGCTATTGCAAGGACAGCACAAAGCAAGCCATCCATGAGGGTTCTGCGCCCATGACCCAGACACCTCCCGCCAGGCCCCTCCTCCAACACTGGGGATTATATGTCAGTGTGAGGGGCCAAACATCCAAACTGCATCACCAGTTATATCTGTTCTCGTCTTGTCTTTGTGCTTATAACTAAAAACAACAACAAAATAACACACCCTTGCCGGCTGGGCGTGGTGGCTCATGCCTGTAATCCCAGCACTTTGGGAGGCCGAGGCGGGCGGATCACAAGGTCAGGAGATCGAGACCATCCTGGCTAACACGATGAAACCCTGTCTCTACTAAAAATACAAAAAATTAGATGGGCGTGGTAGCGGGTGACTGTAGTCCCAGCTACTCGGGAGGCTGAGGCAGGAGAAGGGCGTGAACCCAGGAGGTGGAGCTTGCAGTGAGCCGAGATGGCGTCATTGCCCTCCAGCCTGGGCGACAGAGCAAGACTATATCTCAAAAAAAAAAAAAAAGTGCCACGTATATTCTATACAGAATGACAAATCCAAGGAGCTGAATATTTCCATTTCTTAAAATCATTTGAGTAAATCCTACTTGTATAAGTGTATTTTGCAAAAAAAAAAAAAACAAAAAACAAAACAAAAACACCCTTTTGCTGTCATTTTAGAGTATTTAGTTCAAAAGAAAAAAATCAATGTGTATATTCTATCCACAGTGTTAAACAGAATTTGTATCCCTTTGTATATAGTTGAAAAAAGCAAATCTCAAATTAAGTCACTTGACACAACTCCCGCTGGTAATGAACAGAGGCAAGAGAATTTAGAGAGAATGATTCTTCCCATTCATGTACTGAATTTATAAGCTATATTCATAAACTTCATTTATCAAAGAAATCCTATTAAAACATAAAAAGAACTATGGCAGTAAGTCTTTTTCCAGAAATGAACCATGAGCTAAATAAGATTATTATATCTGGACCACAGGTTATAGATTCTCCAACCAAGTCCTCAATACATTGATGATTATTATACATATTCTCCATAGCTTGGCATCTGCCTTATATAAAATCTACCACTGGTCCCATTTTAGGAGTGGTGCTCATGACTAATCAGACAACTTTGGTGAAGGATTTACCATCTTTTAAGAGGA